AAACGCTGGGAGAGACATGGCCACAGGCACTGGCCATGCTACTTCCCACCACCGCAGACGCGGCCACCAAGCACCACAGCCGGTGCAGTCCCTCTCGAGACCACAGTGGCCCAGCAGGCCCAGAACAGTGGTGGGGGATGCAGCGTTCCCAGATTTTGAGCTAACCTGGCGGGGAGGGAGGCACTCCCATCACTGTCCCCAGGCAGCAAACCAGAGGCCTCCTGGCACCCCGGGCTAACCTGGGCTGCAGATCTGATAGGGCCTCCCTCCAGCACCCCGCAGGCCTCCCCAGTCGTGGAAGCCGCAGGTCCTTCTCCAGACCACCTCGGAGGATCGCTGGTGGCAAGTTTCACCAGGAAAACAATTGCCAAGGAGAAAGCAAAGCATGCCCCAGTTTTGGCTCCCTCCAGGGACGGCTGGAGTTAGAGCCTCCAGCCAGTTAACACTACCAGGTAGGGGCTTCCCAGTTGGCTTAGTGGTAAAGAATCCGTCTGCCAATGCAGAAGACATGGGTTCGATCCCTGGGTCGGGACGATCCCCTGGAAGAGGAAATAGCAACTCACTCCAGTACTCTTGCCTGGGAAATCCCATGGCTAGAGGAGCCTAGCGGGCTACAATCGGTGGGGTCGCAGAGTCGGCACGGCTGAGCACACAACACAACAACAAGGGCACAAGCAGAGAACGCCACCCGCCGAGGCAGGGGCTGGGTGGGGAGACGGAAGCTGCGCCAGGGATGCGCGACGTGGACAAGTCACCACCAAAACTCTAGGAATGTTTCCCAGAAAAGCAGGAGTTGGACTGGCCAACCGTCCGATCATATTCCCAATTCCGAAGCAATTCCCGGCAGGCTGCAGTAATGGAGTCAGTCCTGCTCACCTGCCTGGCTTCCGCACTAGTCTGAGAGTGTCCCCAAATACCAGGAACACAGAACACAGCCTACCCACTTTAGAATCCTTGCCAGGGTGGCGGCAGTGAGCAGCTCAGCAGGCAAACCAGTAATTACCACAGGTTTCTTGAGCGAATGCACATCCATACACACCCCAAGGACCAGGTCTGTGAAGACCCACGGCACCTTCTCCTTTCCTGGCAGCTCCACCATCCAGATGCCCCAGGGGGCTGGGGAGGGGGGCCACAGGGGAGAGCTCAGGCCCTCCACACAGGGTTTTGACCCCTGACCTTTGCCACGGCAGAGCTGAGTGAAGGTCAAGGCCCAGCGGGGACCCCTTTCTCCAGGTCAGCTTGCTTAGGAGGGACCTTTCTCCATTAGCCCACCAGCTGGGACTTGCCTAGTGGTCCTGTGGTTAAGAATCCACTTGCCAGGGCAGGGGACACGAGTTCCTTCCCTGCTCTGGAAAGATCCCACGTGCTGGAGCAACTAACCCCAGGCAGAACAGCTACCGAGCCCGCACACCCTGGAGCCCAGGCTCGGGAACAGCAGGAGCCACCACGCCAAGAAGCCCACGCACCACAACCAGGAAGAGCCTCTGCTCATCGCAACTAAGAAAGCCCGCATGCAGCAGCGAGGAACCAGCGCCACCAAAACTAAAATAATTTTTTTTTTTTTTAAAGAGCAGCAGATGGGAAGACTCCTCGTTGTGGTAAGGCCTGCCTCTGAAAAGAACCAGGAGGCTGGCAGGAAAAGGCAAAGTTACAAAGTCCATAAAACGAGAATCTTCACGAGATGCCCCGCTCTCCTCACGGCCCAGCCGAGACCTGGCCCAGAGAAGATGCACAAACGAGGGAATGAACTGGTGTGGGCTGCGAGGTCAGCCAGGTGTCCCTTTGCGAGCATGTCTGGGGAACGAGAACGTTCTATCTCCCTCAGTTCTCAGCCCCTGAGGAGGGCCTGGTGGAGACAGGGCGCCATGTTCTGCTGGGATCTTCAAAGTCACCTCCCTACTTTTCTGTTTACCAATTCAGACTCTAGGTTCAGATTTTATCTCCGTCCTCATTTCATGTCTGAGAGAAAAAAGAAAAAAAAATACGTGGTGATGACGTCTGATGGATTTCCAGGAAATCTTCGGAAATTGAGAAGGGTCCAGCACACTGACTGACAAGTAGGAAGCAGACATTAAACCTTGGCTCCTTCCACTCCTTTGGGTCCAAAGTGGACCACTGCGCGGAGGAAGGAAAGGCAGCCAGGCAGGCTGAAATTTACACATCATCCGACCTACAATAAGGCACCAGCAGTTGGGCTCCGGGTCAGGACTTGCCGGGGCTCCTCACTGAGTGCTTATTTAATAAGGGCCAGGGTGGGCTGGGGTTCCTTGGATTCTGGGAGAAGTCTGGCGTGCTTACGTAAGCCAAGCCCTCTTTTTCAAAAGCCAGGAATCCAATGTTGCAAGTCCAGTCTCTGGGGGCCCTGGCCTGGTATGTGAGAGGAGCCTGCAGAACAGGAAAGAAAGCCAGAATGGACATCACCACTGCCCCGCAAGACCTCACCACGGGCTTCGGAGCTGTCTCTTGGCCTGTGTCACCCACCTCTAGGGAACAAGAGCCAGCTGTCCAAGGGCCTTCCTCCCAAATGTGGCCCATGGCATGAATGCACTGGATCCTCACTAGGAAAATTCATGGGCAGAATCTCTTGGTAGAAAGCATAAGGACTTACAGACACACGTGAGGTTGCAGGTTTAAGCAGTCTTGGCCCATTTTACAGATGGGGAAGCCTGAGATTCAGAAGTTATGGGACTTACTACCCAAGGTCAGATAGACAGAACCTGGACCTGATTTCCAAGCCCCAGGCTTTCCACCTACCACACCGCCCTCAAAGGTCAGGATTCTTTGAGTAACAAACTTTCCCCCTATTTTATCAGTTTGGTAAATCTCGATTTCAGAACCATTCTTACTCAGGGGTATTCTTACACAGGGGTGTATATAACAAATGTTTGATTCCACCCAACTAAGGCCCCTTCATAGACCACAGCATTGAGAACTGCAAGAGCCCACAGAAACCTCTCCACTCCCCTGTTCAGGTAAGGAGGCGAGGCCTAGGGAGCTAGATCCTGGGGTCAAAAGTCCCATCCCCCAAACAGCCCAGGTTTCGCCTTTTCAGGGAGGAGCTGGACCCGAATCCACAGCACAGCAGAGAAGATGGGGAGCTGGGTATTTGTTCTAATTCCCACTACCAATCCCCTTTGGGCCTTGGGATAGGTTTTTGGCTGCCAGAGCTGATCATCCAATAAACGCTCAGGAGGCAGGTCGCCGAATAAACCAGTGCAGAGACCTAAATATAGGATGTTCTAGGGTGTCCCGATGCCATTCCTTGGTCAAAATGAGCGACTTTGGGAGGCAGTGTACCATGGAGGCGAGGTGCCATTTCCAGAGAAATCACCTATCATTCTCCCGGATCCCCTCTTCGAACTAGGAGCATTTCAGAGCAACCTGGGGGGGCGGGGGTAAGGGGGGACAATCCAAGAGAAGCCAACAGAAGACAACCTCTTATCCCAACAACACAGCAGTCCAACCAGACACATGCTGCTGGACAAGGACCCATCCTCCCAGAACAGAGCCACACAGGCCCCCTATTGTGTCGGTTTAAAAACTGAACTTTGCTGGGCAAACACACCCGGCTGTGTTCAAGAAACCACTTTCTCTTCACCACTTGGAAAACAGCAGCATGCATGCAGGAGAGACAGTTGGGGGGGCGGGGGTGCTGGTCGGTTTGTTTTTTAAGCCAAGCCCTGGTCAGCACTGCTATAGTAACTGAAACAAAAATAATAATAGCCAGCACTGATTAGATCCTTTCAATGTCCCTGGTTTTGCCGCTTTTAAGAAAATAAAACTGAAGAAGTCTACCCCGAGCATTTTAGATCAAATAGGGCTGCAGGCTTCTGGTGCACACAGAGGATAGGGTCTGGTTATCACGGCCACAAATCACCCACTGGCCCCAAGGTGGCTGGCAGCGGCAATCAGCAATAAGAGGCTGTGGAGGGTTTGGGATGAAGTGTTAAGGTTCTAATAAAACAAAACATCTCCAGATCTGCAGAAGGCCAGATGTGATCAAGCAAGGTGGAAAGAGGCCCATTCTTCCAAACAGGGTCGCTATTAATACCAAGTGGTGCCTGGAATTTCACAGCTTTCCCAGCCTCTGGACAAAAGCAAGTTGGAAACGCACTAGTTTCCCTCTATTGTGTGTGACAGGAGAGGGAGAGACCGCCCCCGACCCCCTTCTAAGAACGCAATAACCCTTTTAATATTGGACTTCCCAGCTATCAGTTGAGAGAGTAGGGACCGCATGATTTATTTCTTCTTTACACTGGAGGCTGTCTCCACTAGAACCCCTTAAATAGTGTCATCTTCCCATTGAAGGCTTTGGTCCTCAGCATAATCGTTCCTAAACCAAAGTTCAATAGGGGGAAGGGCGGGGGTGCGGTGCCGATTGGTTATTACATTTTGAGCAGTGAAACGCGGTGGCAGTGCGCAAGAGACGCACTCAAGGCAAAAATGCAGTTTCAGCAAACACTTTGATAAGCGGCAGACAAGAACCTGGAGGAGAGGAAAGGAAGAGACAAGACAGCGTCTGGGGCGTGCGGGGAAGGCAGACAACGAAGGGCCTGCGCTCACACTTCATGGGGATCTCCTCCCGCCCCGTCACCCCAGCCCACAGCGGCTGGGCTCCGTCACCCAGAGAAAAGTCCACCATGTGACTCAGTGGGAGAATGAGTCCCGCGGCCCGGCGAGCTGGAAACGCGGTGGGGGCGGAGGGCGGCGGAGGGGATGTCCGCGCGCAGCCCACCCCGCCCGCAGGCTCCTCCGCCCTCCCTCGCAGGTCGCACCACGCCCCTCCCCCCAAATCCCGCCTAAGGTGAGGGTCCTCGGGCCGCCGCGCCAGCGGGTGGAAGAGGGAGAGGAAGCCGCAAGAGATGACCGGGCTCAAGGATGCAACTGGGGAAGGAGTGAACTAGAGCCGCGAAAAAGGTGGGGCGCTTCCCGAGGCGCAGGCTCCTGCCTCCTCAAACCCGGCGCGGGCCCCCCGATTCTCCGGCGTCGTGGCCCCTTACCTCCAGGGTCCGGATCTCCTGCTGGGTGAGGTCGTTGGACACGGCGCACTTGGTACGCAGCCCGCGCAGGCTGCCGATGGAGATGTCGATGAGCTTCTGGAGCTGCCCGCACTGCTGCAGCGCTCGGCTGGCCGCGGCCCCGGCGCCCCCATCCGCGCCCGCCGCGTCCCCCCCGCCGCCGCCGCCCTCCTTCTTCTCCCCCATCGCCGCCGCGCGCAGCGCCGCTCTATCCATGCCTCGGCATCGGGGCCGCGGGGTGGCCGAGGCGGCGGAGCCCGGGGGCGCGGGCGCCTCGAAAGGGAATCCTCGAGCCGCGAGGGCTGGACGAAGAGCGCCCTTCGGCGCTGCGGGAGCTGGGACGCGAGGACCGCCCGGCCGCCGAGTCCGCCCGCCCAGCCGCGGCGGCAAAGCGAAAGCCGCGGCGACCCGACGGCTGAGGCTCCCGGAGCCTTTAAGCGGCAGCGGGGGCCGGGTCAGAGCAGCTGGGCATGCTGGGACTTGTAGTCCCCGCCGTGCACCTGCCGCCGCCCGCGCCCTCGGGGTCCCCGCGGGCGCCCGCGCCCGGCCGTCCCGGCCTTCCCTTCCGCTGCGGGCACAGGCCGCGCGGGAGCGCCCCGCCTCGGCGCCCCCGAGGGTCTGCTGCGCGCCGGCTCCTCCCTCGGCGCCGGGATCCCGGGGAGCCTCGTCTCCCCGCCCACCCTCGCCTGCTCCCCATCCCTCCTCCTCGCTAGGGGCTTCCCACGACCCCCCCGGATGAGGCGAGGTGGAGCCGACGGCCCTTGGACGGGAGGAGGGTTCGCCTCCTGCAATTCCTCGGCTTCAGCCGAACCCTGGAAGACAGGGACAGTGGAAGTTTCAGAATTTCTGTGTGGGTTTAGGGGCCGCCATCTAGTGGGAAGGGGCCTAAAGTACTGGTCCTGGTGGAGATCCGCAGAGCCCAGGACTCCCGCTTGTCCAGCCAGAGGAAGGGCTCAGTCTTGGAAAGACGCAGGACCTTCTAGATGCTATTTACCCACCAACATAAAGGTTCCATCCCTCCACCACCTCAACCCAGCAGGCCAGTCCAGACACTGGGGGTGACAGTTGATTTGTCCTGCCTTTGGAAGTGCTGGAGAGCCCTGAGCCAGTCTGAGTTCAAGTAGTGTCTACCCCTGCCTAGCCACTGGCTTGGTTGGCTCAGTGGACCTGAGTCTGGGCAGATTTCTGGAGGCAGTGAAGGACAGGGAAGCCTGGTGTGCTGCAGTCCATGGGATCCCGAAGAAGCAGCTGAGCCACTGAACAACAAGCACCTGCCAAACTGACTTCAGGCAATTAGCTCACCTTTGAGTGTCTGAGTTTCCCCATCAGTTAAAATGCAGCGATAATAGAGCCTATTTGATAAGGTTCCTGGGACTTCTCAGATGGCTCAGTGGTAAAGAATTCACCTGCCAGTACCAGAAATACCTGTTTAATCCTTGGGTTGGGAAGATCCCCTGAAAGAGGGAATGGCAATCCGCTCCAGTATTCTTGCCTGGAAAATCCCATGGACAGGGAGTCTGGCAGGCTACAGTCCAGGGGGTCACAAAGAGTCAGCCACAACTGAGCACAGTATGGTTCAGATGGTGGCATTCAGTCCCTCAGGCATGTCTGGCTCTTTGCGACCCGTGGACTGCAGCACGCCAGGATTCCCTGTCCCTCACCATCTCCCAGAGCCTGCTCAAACTCATGCCCATGGAGTCGGTGATGCCATCCCATCATCTTGCCCTCTGTCACCTCCTTCTCCTCCTCACATGAAGAATGAGTTAGTGTGTACACAGAACCTGAATTGATAATTGCCACGTGTGGGCACTAGATAAATGTTCTCAGTGGTTACTCTTCGACTTCAGGTCTTGTGACCATGGCCCCACACCTGAGCAGTGGGCACGGGCAAAATACTGCTCCTGGACTGGTTGTTGTCTGTTTATGCCTTTCCGTGCCTTCTAACTCAGTATTCAACAGCCCCACCGTATTCCCCCACCCTCCCCTCCCACCTCCTATGAGTTCCTGTGGGCTCTATTATCTGCCTAAACTGAATAGACAAGACTCAGATCAAAGGTCCCACACATCCATACTTTCAACATCTGCCAACCAGAAGAAATCTCTCTCCTAAGCTCCTTGGCTGCAGAAGCTGCTGGTTAAATATCTTGGTATCCTCTCCACAGAACCAAATCCAGAGCATGGCACACAGCAGGGGATCCATAAAGCTGTGCAATCCACTGAGTTTTTCACACAGGTCCTAGCCCCTGAAAGAGAAACTGTGTAACAGTGGTTCTCAAACTTGAGAGTGGATCAGGATCTCCTGGAGGGCTTGTTAATCCACAGAATGATGAAACCCACTCACTGAGATTCTCATTCAGTAGATCAAGGATGAAGTGGAGGATTTGCATTCTAACTTGTTCTTGTGTGATGCTGATGCCGCTGGTCTAGGAGCTGAATTTTGAGCATCTTTTTCACAGAGGAAGGTCATGGACCAGGAAAACTATCTCCAGGGAGGATCCATACCCAGGCTACAGTGGTTGATTCAGAACCTCTGTTTGTTCAGCAGCCAGGACTGCCAGGGTTGAGTGACTGGCTCTCTCTAACTCAATTCACAAAAGATTTCCTGATAAATGCCTACTATGCGATTACATCAAGCTTGTAATTGGGCCTGGGTCAACACGTTTTTCCACAGGACCACTTTATGTGGAAGCCATGTCCTGTCTAAGGCCATTGCCAGCCTGTGGCGTCCACGCCTATGAGGGCAATGGTGGTAGGGCTGGAGACTGGACAAGCCTTAGATCCCTGGTTACTCTCCCGCCAGGCCATGCAGCGGTCCCTCTTCTGTGGACACAGTCTTCCTTCTGGTTTGTAGAGAACACTCAGTAAGCCATCTGTTCCTTCCCAGTTCATCTCAGGCACACTCCAGCCTTCTCAACTGGGTTTACAGAACTGCCTCTTAGTGATACAAAAGCAAAGATTTAAAAATAATCCCTTCGTCCATCCTTTTAACATTCCATAAGTATTCAGTAAACCAGTCAATCCTAAAGCAAATCAACCCTGAATATTCATTGGAAGGACTGATGCTGAAGCTGAAGCTCCAATACTTTGGCCACCAGATGCAAAGAGCCAACTCATTGAAAAAGACTCTGATGCTAGGAAACATTGAAGGCAAAAGAAGGAGGCAGCAGGGGATGAAATGGTTAGATAGCATCATTGATACAACAGACATGAATCTGAGTAAACTATGGTAGATAGTGAAAGACAGGTGAGTCTGGCATGCTGAAGTCCATGGAGTTGCAAAGAGTTGGATATGACTTAATGGCTAAACAGCAAGTGTCTACTTATGTAGCAGGCCCTGTTTTGGACTCTGGGAAACAGTAGTGAACAAAGTAAAGATATTTACCCTCTGGGAATTTATATCATGGTGAGAGAGACAGAAAATAAATAAGGAGAATGCACAGTGTGTTAGGTGGTAACAGGTGCTGTGCACAGCATAAAGCCTGGAAGGGGACAAGGAATATCTTGTTTCAGAGCTCTTTTAGGAACTGGAGTTCTCAGTGTGGTCTCTGAATCGCTGCATGACCTTAGGCGAGTCTCTTAACTCAGAGCCCTGCTCCTGACTTGCAAGTTGGAGATTCTGTGTTGTGAGGATGAACTGGGATCATTATATAAATTATGGTCACAAAGGAAGGGTTCCACGTATTTGTGTTTATCCAATACGTAAATTCACAATAAATTCCTTCTTCACTTTCCAGAGTGTGTCTCCTCTGGTGAGATGAATTCATCTATTAGATGTTTGTTTTAATCTTTTAACATTTTTTCAAATTTTTGTTTATTTATTTGGCCTCATGGGGTCTTAGTTGCAGCTGCAGGATCTTCACTGGGGCATTCGAACTCTTAATCGTGGCATGTGGGATTTAGTTCCCTGACTTGGGATCAAACCCAGGACTCCTGCATTGGGAGCATAGAGTTGTAGCCACTGGACCCCAAGGGAAGACCCCATCTATCAGGTGTTGATTCTTAGGTTTGACTTCGGCTCTTGAAACTTTTTATGTGACTCCCTCATATAAAAAACTTCGCCTCATCTCTCCTCCTACCCCTCTGCCACAGGACACTCTGTTGGCAGCACTCAAGTTTCCCCAGCTTGGACTCCCCTATCTGCATCTCAGCACCCCAGCAGCCATGCAAGCACGTTCATGAATAGACCAACAAACAAGAAAAACCAAGTCTTTATTCAAGTGGAACAAATGTGAGAATGAAGACCGGTAATTAACAAGTCAACAAGTATATTGCCAAAATAAATTCGCAGAATGATAAGTGCTATGAAGGGGGGAGAAAGCAAACAGTGATAGCAAGTTCCCAGGGGATGAAGTGCTTCATTAGATGAAGTGGTCAAAGTAGTACTATCTGAAGGATCATTGAACTGAGATCTAAATAAAGAAAAGGAACCAGCCAGCTGGAGCTCTGGGAAAGGGGCATTCTAGGCAATGGGAACACCACGTGCAAAGGCCCTGAGGCAGGAACACGCTGGCACACTCCAGGAACAGAATGAAGGCCAGTGTGGCTACAGCATGATGTGGGAGCAAAACGGGTTAGAGATGACGTGGGAATGCTGGAGAGAGGTCAGATAAAGTAGGACATGGGCAGGAAGTTTGGATTTTTCTCTAAGTCTTTGTTAGTCCTAGTGTGGTCCAAGAGTACTGCATCGCCTGGGAGCTTGTTAGCAATGCAGTCTCCCCACCCCAGGTCAACTGAATTACAACCTGGATTTTAGCAAGAGCCCCACATGACTTGAGTGGATTTTAAAGTTTTGGAAGCATAGCTCTCTTAAGTACATGGAAGGAAAACCACATTCCTTGAGAGGTGCTTTAAGAGCTTTCTCTGGGGGTGGAACTTCCCTGGTGGTCCAGTAGCTAAGACTCCGTACTCCCAGTTCAGAGGGTCTGGGTTCGATCCTTGGCCAGGGAACTGCAGCAACTAAAGATCCCACACACCAAAACTAAGACCCGGTGCAGCCTAATAAATATTTTTCTAAAGAAGACTCCCCTGGGGAGTTCCCTGGTGGCATAGTGGTTAGGATTCTGGGCTTTCACTGCTGTGGCCTGCATCCAATCCTTGGTCCGGGAACTGAGATCCCAGAAG